CATTCATCATAAGCGATAGCAACAAAGACAAAAAATCACAAATGATTGCATGTGACAATTTTAGGAACGGATCCAGAAGCAACAATAATTGGCGCATTCCAGATGTTTGATAAGAGAGATTGCGGCAAAATATCAGAAGAGGAGCTATTGAAAATTTTGCATAACAAACGAGGGGATCCCTTCGACGATGATGAAATCAAAGCGATGTATAAGGTATCATTCCTATATTCCATTCCAAATTGACACCAGAAACTTCCTTCCATTATCTGTTTTGTTCTTAAACTAACTTTCAAACGAATCCGAAGATAGATCTTTTGCGAATTAATTTAAATCAACTTATTACTGGCCAAGCAGTACTATTACTAAAAACATTTAAAATAAATGTGTAATCATTAGTGTTTTTTTCTAATGAATGACTACAACTAGTCAACTATTGTCAAGTATTTGTCAACATTTATAAACAGTGTTTTAATATTATTCATTCAGGGTAAGCCACCAATTGAAAATGGCCAAGTTGACTACAAAGCATTTGCTCATTTGATAACAACGGGTGCTGCCGAAGAACTTTCCAAGGCATAAGACAGCAACTGATGTGCATCGCTAAACTAATATTGCGGGAGAGCCTTTTGTATAACTCCTATTCATAAATTAAATAAATTAAAAGAATGTAATTAATTGCTCCTACAAAACATCATTAATATCATCATCGTTTATTTATTTATCAAAATATTTATATTTAAACAAGAGCGCTACTGCTGTCGGATTGCACACTTATGTTCCATTCCTTTATTTTTCCAACTTCATACACCATAATTTCTTTGCAATGCTTTTTTTGATTCCTTTTGGACATTTCGTTCTTATCCATTTGTTCAATTAAATTCATTTGCTTCTAATGATTATGCTAGAAGCAGTGATTAAATAATTATTTTACATTGGAAGTTTTGTTATCGCTTTTTCTCATATTTGCGGAACAGCATACTTTTATATTTTCGGTAATATTAAGCAAACGAAAATAAATAATAATAGTGATCCGGCAGCCTTCGCGCACAAACTTAATGAACGATTTTGTCTAGCCGACCTATTCGCGTTTACTGTGTAATGTTAGATTAAAACTTTAATTTTTATTATGTACTTGCTGCTTCTATTCTACGTCACTTCCCTCGAAATTTTTCAATTTTGCGAATTGCATGTTTTTAAATTAATGTAGTAAAAGATAAATGATACTAATGAAATAATTTAATGGCTATTATAGCACACTAAATATCAACCGAAGAATGCTATTGAATGAAGTGAGAAATAAAACCTCAGAATAATATTCTTTTATTAAAATGAATCTCTGCTATAGATAGCTACGGAAAGCCTTTTCTTCAGGTAGTAATTGCGTTTGATCGCCGTCATTCAAACTATTTTTTTCCCTAGTGTTAAAAATATAAAAAAATAAATTCGCATAATTTAATTGCATCGAAAAGTATAATCAAAATATGCGAACTGACGAACAAAATTATTGGTAATCGAATAAACCATGTTGTAACGGTCAACAATAACATTTCTATGTACAGTAATGATGTCACCAGAAATGACAAAACGTTGAAACGTGAAATAGAAGAAACAGATTTGAAAGTGCGATAAAATTAAATCAGAAATTAGCAGTTTATTTCAATAGAACTAAGAAATTGCTAAGACCTTTCAAATCTTATAATTTAATAAGTAGAGAAATTTCTCTAAAACCAGATGTTACTATCAATAATTGAGAATGGAAAGAATATATGAGTGAAAATGAAGAAAATGGAAAATAATTAAAAAGCACAACTCTAATGAGAGCTGCTTGTGAGAGTGGAATGCAGCAATACTTTAGCTGCTGCTGTTTTTAATCTTTTAATTTTCTAATTGATTCATATCGCATAAACAATACGAATTCAAGATTTCTTAGAATATTTATTAAATAAATCTATTTGAAATTTTATAAAAGAATGTGGCAAAGTCATAAGTTCATGGAAGAATAGACTGCATCGTCTTTGTATGCTGTTGATATCCTTCCTTATACTTTACTCTTGCAAGTGATGCAGGAATAAAAGTGTTACATTGAAAATGCATCGGCTATGAAAATGAGCTTATCCTATCACTTTCAGAGAAATTGCAATTAGTTTTAAATTGCTTCAATTTTAAAGTTATTAAATGACGCTTTCCTGATAAAAAGTCACTTTTAACGTTCTCAAAAATCTTAGTAATTTAGATCAACTTTTGAAGAATTTATTGAAATGCTAAATGTTGGCCAATCTGAACCAATGGATATTATTAGAAAGAAAAGATCACTAGGCATTCTCAGAAATTTGGTTATTAAATTAAACATTATCCACGTGTAAAACTTGAAACAAATAACATTGACTGAAATTCTAATCATGATTACTGTACTTATCTTGCTTATGAAGAAGGACTGAGAGACAAAACCGAGTGTTTAGTATTCGGAAAATAAGTTCGGCAGAAATAAAGTTGAGGGAGTTGATATTTTTCAATAATCTCTTATTCTAAAGTGGCAGCTGAGTGGTCAGCACCAATCAATGATGGAAATAATCAAAGGAAACAGACAAACTTCAATTCAAGACATTTTGAGTTGAATTATATTTTTCATCAAGGTGAGACGCACTCTTCGAAAAATTAGTAGAAGAAATTTTAATCAGATTGGCCAATTTTTCAGGTGAATGAACAGGAAGAAATTTTCGGGAACTCACATGCTAGTCTTTAATAGAAGCATCTATTAGCAACTTATCTGTCTAAAAAAACTCAAAGCCATTAAGCTTGGAAATGTAGTAAATTTGAAATTCGTAACATTCTGAAAAATTATACATACTCTCATTCCAATCACAGCAGATTTTCCCACAAATTTTCAGTGTTAATTTATGTTCACTTCTCATAGAGTCATATTTCCTACACATATATGGCCGTCATCCTCCTCAAGCTTAGCCAAAAATAAAAATATTTGCTGGTAAAGACTTTATCGCATTGCTATAAGCGATTTGAAAAATAAATTTTTGATCAAAGATTTTTGAAGGAAGGCATTCTTTACTTCCTTTCTCCTTCTGTAATGCAATTGGTAATTGGTAATTGGACATTTAGTAATTGCCATTTCTTAGCTTCCATATAATACAGAAATGTGAAGGGAAAACATGTATCATTAAAAGTAATTATGTAAAAAGATTTCTCAGGAAAATCAAAAATTGATGAGTTTCTGATGAAAATTAACTTTTCAAAACATTCGCCGACTTTCTAACTTTTCTGATTGTCGAAGGAGAAGCAAGCGAAGAAATTGAAGAAATTGAGAACTATTATTCCTCAAGTGAACCATTTTTTTTTTAAAAAAATGCATAGCCACCGACGGATCTCAAATGAATTTATTGAGCCTCTAATGCAAACGATTGCTTGCTTGTGCAATACTAAATACAATTTGAATTTCCTCAACTAATTTTTTGGTTGAAATTAGAAATTAGCAAAATTTTCCACGCAATGTTTCAACTTCAATGTGGTAGAGGAATTGAAAACTACCACTTACTGATTAACGATAAAATTTGTGTTACATTAGATAAATTTGCGTTTTTTAATGTTACAAGGAATGACTTGGAATTATTTTAGACTTAAAATATAACAAGACACATTTCCACAGAGTCTGCTATATACAATCTTTCCAGAATGTTGAAGATAGAGGAACATCACCGAAGTAATTCATCCAATCAATTGTATATCAACGCGTCAAGCCCAGATATGAATTAGATGTGATAGTTGTTATTACAGAAATGGTGTAAAACTTTCCAGAGTTTCGGATTAATGATTGTTTCATGTATCGAATATTGAAAAATTTAAATGGGTGTTTGTAAAACGACATAAAGAGTATTTAACGATGATATAATACAGAACACACCTGTCGATGCTGAATGGCCCGTATTTTTTTTGTTTCATAATAAAAAGTGACGAAATGTTCAGCAAAATCATAAAAACTCGAACTTTGCTAATTTATGAGTTTATGGCATTATTATATTAAAGAAATGATTAATCGATATTTATATAGAATTTTTTAATTGAGACGCTTTTAAACTGCTACAATCGTAATAACTTGTAGCAGATATCGGCAATTGCAATTCCATTATTCAACCGGTAACTGCTTAATGGCATTTGTAGGACAGGTAATAAACATACAAATCTCAGTAACAGTTAAAAAGGACAACTATTTGAAGAAAAAACTAATGTGAAATTTGGGAAACGGAATGGGGAAAGAAGCGAGTAGCTCAAGCCATAGAAAGCAGTTTGCACTCCCAGGTCAATGAAAGAATATTTTTTTGATAGGAATAATGCCAATGCAGAGGTTAGGAAAGCAAAGATTTTAAAACTTGAATGGTAAAAATTTGCTGCAAGACTAGTGGGTTTCTGGAAAACATTTCCCTTCAAGAGCATCATCCCGCAGAATGTTCGCAGTAGGATACAGTTTTTAGTAAACTAAAGTCTCTTTTGTAGATGATTATACATAGTTGTTTCTACAATGACGAAATCAAAATTTAAAGAAAATATATTTCGTACAATTATGCTAATCTAGCTTATGATGTATTAGAGAAAATATAAGAGGATAAATAACGCCGATTTTCTCCATTATTGAAATCGAAAAAACCGTTAACTGAAATTGTTTGAACGATAGGAAAATATAAAACATTACAACATAGAACTGTAATGAGTTCAAAAAAAGTTTGAGATAATTAAGAAAGCAAAAATTGTCCTAGATAATTGAGAAAAGAGAAAGTGAAGGAATCTACCAACGAAACATACACAAACCAAACGAATACACACTATATCGATTTCACAATACACTTTGGAAAGAATCATATTGTCAGAAACTTTGATTTACAACTTCATTAATTCAGAGCAAGCAAACGCTTAAACTTGTAATAATCCAAACTTGCAAAAATTGTCTTCCAGCACAATGTTTGAAAGGAAAAATGCAGCTTCCAACAACAATCTCAGTCACCACTTTGTGATAAATCAGCTTGATTTGAAGACCATTCTTCTAACTCACCTTTCGCCCAAAGCCAAAACATAAATGAGCCGAATATATAAACACATGACGTAAAAACGAACACTGTATGCCATTCACTGCGCGACTAAAATGTTTCAAATCCAATTAAAGTTTTACCCGATAAGAATGATTTCAAACAATATTTTCAGAAGCAAGGAAAGTATTTGGAAAGAAAAAGTTCTTGATTTACATTTCCCACCAAAAGTTTGATAAACAGTAGTACAGGATTAAATTATCTGGAACAATATCAGAACTGTAAAATAACCTGATTTTTTACGACTGCACCAACAAATAGCGGACTAATCACTCCTGGCAATGTAGCTAATGTATTTGAAAAACCCATAAGGTGACCAGCATACTGCAAAAATTTTAAGTTATTAAATTTCATTAAACACTGCAAGGAATAAAAAGTCTTTCAAAATTTATGCTTTTAGCTTCTCCAAGCTAAACTGATGAGTCAAACTATTTATCAAACTACCTGATTCCTCCAACCTTTCCTTTACAGTTCGAAAGCATAATACAGTTATTTTACAGTTACCTGCGGAGCGATATCGAGAGAATTGACGGAGAATGCACTCCATGCAAGACCACTCAAACCAACAGAAATTATCAGTGAAACAAGCACCAACAATCTGCGCATTTCTGTTATTGTTAGCAACAAAAATGCCGCTTCTCCTAACAGACCTGAAAATTCGAATTCATGAGAAAACTAATAATTCGGAAGTGATTTAATAATATCTAGACGATAGGAAGCCGTTAAGATGAATAAAACATAACGAAAATCTGAACTAGCCTAAACAGCAAAAAACTTTTCTCGCTTTGATGGTGGACCACATACAGCTCGTTCTAAGATAATCAGCAAAACTACCGGCAGTTAGAAGCACAACACCCATAACAAGATACGGGAGAGACGATAGAGATCCAGCCTGTTAATTCAAAAATAATTTCACTTAGGAAATTTTATGATATCACAAAGTGAAAGAAATGTAAGGAATGAGGTCATCTCTCAGTATCTGTTCAGAAATTACATTTTCACGATCGTAACTAAGCAAATTTTCCAATATTCGTGGCAAACTTGTCAACATTGTATAAAATCCCCAATTCTGGCATACATGTGCAATAACAATAGCCCAAACGGCTCTACTTGAAAGAATATGTCTCCAAGGAACAACCTGAAATTTGATGCCTAATATTCTTGAATGAATATTATTGTGCTACTCATCTATACAGAAATCGTACAAAATGTAACAAAACAAAACACAGAAGTTATGAGTCAGAAAATTTCGAAATAAAACTTTTGTCAAAGAAAAATTAACAATGTAGCTAAACTGAGAAACTGAAACATAGTACTACTTCATTAGTTACATTATGATCTCAGTGTTTTCCACCAATATTATTATTTTCATTAGTATATTTCAGGATTCGGTGTGAACATTTTCCTTATTATTGAAATAGCGAAAACTGGAATTAAATTATTCAGAGCACGGACTTACATACATTTGCAATTACGGATAAGTTTAATCTTACAGTACTCATTGCTTGCTTAGTTTCGCGTTTCAATAACGTTAATTCATCAGTGGTTATATTTGGATCGTTTTCCGGCAAATCATGAAATTTTTTCACCCATAAAAAGCACCACAACAAAGCAGCTATCCCTGAAATGCTCGGAAGTGAATGGGTTTTGAGCCAGCTTCAATAACACATTTATCTACAGCACACTAAAGTAATGGTCTTTTTTCCATTTAAATTTACTTCGGTACTTATCGACTTTTCATTGTTTCTAAAAATTTACCGAAGAAATAAAAGATAGTTGGCCATCCGAAATGAAGACCGATAACAGCCGATACAGGCATTGCTATGACAGTTCCGAAATACGAACCAGAGTATGAAATTGCGCTCATCCGAGTTTTTTCCATCGTTGGTGTCCAGTTTCCCAGTATAGCATGCATTGCAGGATATGAAACACCCTAAGAATATATTTGGTAAATTCTTTACTAATTTAATTAACCAAACTTTCTCGTAAATCTGATATTACAAACAAAAACAAGTATTTATTAAGCTTAATAAGGAATAATTCACCTCAAAAAATCCTTCCCAAAATCTTGCGGCCATTATTGAAACTTTCCCAAGTTTTGCCAGTGGAGGAGAAAGCAAAGTGAAAATAGCAGTACCTGAAATATATGGAGGAATTCTCACGTGGCACCAGTTAGAAGTGTTGCTAGCAAAAATTAATTCCTTTTTGTGTTAAAAAAATATAGTTACGAAATCTTCGTACATTCCGCGTAATGCTTTTCCTACAGCTTTTGGCTTAAGTCAGTAACAATATACAATTTACCGAAAACACCTGCGAAATAAACGAACTTTCCGCCATAACGATGTGCCAAGTAACCGCCAGGAAGCTGTGTTAAAAAATAGCCATAGAAAAATGCTCCTAGAATAGCGCCTTGTGTTATCGAGTCCCACTTGAATTCAGCTTTCTTCTGCAATTAGTTCTAAATTTAATTAAACTAAAAATCCATAAAATTCTCTAAACTATTAAATGGTTTGTAGAAGCCGAAAATGAAATATTGTCTACAGAATAGTTAGGTACACAGATAGATAACTAAAAAATTTTAACGTTTTCGTTTAATAATTCAGTGCAAGGAATCTGATCATTCAAAAATAAAATAGCTCTCCCAATTTATGGCCTGATCATGATATTGAAAATCGGAATTCACTTAGATCTGAAAATTTAAGATTGAAGATCTGATATAATTATCGAGCCTGGTAATCTCTGCTATAGTTTCATATTAGTAAGTAGATAAATGACGGATTATAAGCTATACATTACAAAGTATAACATCATTATAGCACTATATTTCTGATGCCACGCATAGTTCCTAGCATTAACTGAATCCGTGAATTTGAATAACTTAGGATAGGCGAAAGTAAATGAATGTATACCACTTGCTGCCCATCTACAGTGGTCACAACGGTATCGCTAGTCATCTGGATGATGGCAACTGATAAATTTGCTCTCATTGCGTACATATTAGCAAATCCTAAAAATGCTAATAGCACGACCAGATATCGCTGCTGTAAATAGCATTTCGATGAGTGTACTTCCAATTCTAAAATTAAAACGATGATCGAAAAGAAAAAATTTGAATGATATTAGAAAGTCAGCAAAAGACTGGAAAACAACTCTCTGCTACTGTCAATCCATTACCACAAGTCTTCTAACGATACTCATTACCACAAGTCTTCTAACGATACTCTTGCATAAATTAAAATTATGTCAGTCTGAGAAATATTTCACAACAATAACTTATGGCTGATTTTTACAACGCTCTCGAATTTATAAAAAAACTTATGAGTGATCCGAAGCTTCGATGGTAAATTTCCTATTAGCATTAAACAAAATTTTCCCAGTGGACTGGTTTTCAGTATCTTTCAAAACACCCCGTAAAGGATTTTACAACTTTATTTTAATTCATTTTTTTTTAAATTTTGTTTTATTCTCGGTGTCCATTTACTCAAACAAATACGAAGGTTATTCCTTATTTCATATTATTAATTTCATAACTCGCTAAGAATAATGGCCGCCATGCAAGGAATCTTCCTTATCGTTGAATCAAATTTTCAATGTACAGATGATATTATCGACATACTATGAATCTATGAATTTTGTGTAGTTTCGAAAAGTTAGGAACGAAATACGGAACGATATTGGCTGCAGATGATATATCTTCTAGAGATGCTAGCAAAGAACACCAGCCATAACAATGGTTGCAAATTAGCTTTGTTAAAAGATGATACCTGAGGTTGATTCAATGTCAGCTGGACTTGCTGTACCGTACTGTGACACGGACATATTGCGCCAAGTTGATTAGCTCCTTGAACACGTTGAGAAAAAAAGTTCTGTCTTTCGCCCTGATAGCAGCTGTTTTTATTGTTATTCCATAGCGAGAGAGCTTTCGCCACCACACACACCCACAATTAGTCCACATGCGCGCACATATACAACCTTCACTAATCAATTCCGCCTTCAACATTGCTGCAGTTATCCAACGTCAAAGGATCAACGTAAACGGCATCTCAAGTAAGCCAGTTATATGGACGGTTGCATGGCAACATAACTTTAAACATGTCATCTTCCAACTACTAATAAGGATGCCATAACCGATGAACAGAAGTCATATTTAATGACCACAGCTGATGTGTCGATAAAAATGTTCAGAACGGCAGTCTATCTGTGGGAAGAATTGTATCTCATTTTTTCTTAATGAACTGTATTTTAACCATCTCAAAGCTGTTTATATTTTATGGATTTATACGCTTTAGATGAGACTAAAGTTATTCATATAATTATCAATAAATAGAAGGAAAATAAACCAGCATATTATGAAGCTCATTCTACTAAAATTTGAACTTTCGAATGTAGACATTTTTACAATAAACAACTTCCACTTGTTTACAAAAATATTCATCCAATCAATAATGCAAAATAAAACTAATCCCTCGCGATTACTGTGCATTGAAACTTATTTAGTTTTAAATATAATAAAACAAAGCTTCGGAAACTGTTAAAAACATTTAGGAGATGTACAAATCTTCTGAAGCTGCAGCATTGATTTGATATCTCGAATTCGTTTTTTCCTTTTGTTTATGAGAACTTTCAATCTCTCGTTGAAAAAATTCGTTTCAATATCTCGAAAATAAAAAAGCGAGAAATCGTTTCACGGACATATCCAATTCCCGAAGGCTCGTATGGAGTAATGACAAATTTTCTTATCAATAATATTGTAGCTGTTAAATAATCTAACATTTGAACAACAGAATAAATTCAGCGCTGATCCCATCCCGAGTTGTCATTTCCCCTTTGCTGTGTTCTGTTTTTTTGATACAGCCGACATTTCATCTTTTGTAAGAATTGCGAGAAATGCGCAACAAATTCATTGCTTTTGTTGCCATAAATCCCCACATTTTGCCACAAAGGTAGCCGATTTTATATTTGAGAATGATAAAATTTTTCAATATTTCACTACCATAAGATTGAGTCTAGTGTACGGTCCAGCCACTCGAAACCAAAATCTCTTAGTGAGAAAAGAGTCTGATCATAACTGGTACGCAATACTGGTTATTTTACCATCATGCCTCTTGCAAAAAAGCCCACCATCAAAAGATGTACTTCGATATGCGCACATTTCCTCTTCGAATCACGATTGAATACCACAAAATAATTTTATAAATCAAGATGGTCAAAAAATTAGTCTTATTTTAAAGTAAATCTTGCACCCGACTAAGCATTTAAGTTGAAGAATATAATTTTTACAAAATAAAAGTTATATCACTTTCACGCGCCACATCTTCGTTGCTCATATCAGTTAAAATAATCGTTATCAACAAATCGTAATAGTAACAAAATGACAGACTACGAGAAGCATACTGATTTCTTTCAGAAAAGAGGAATATCACTACCTGTTTGTAAAACAAAACTGGAAAAAATTACAAAAGCTTGAAAACCTTAAATAATAATAATACAAGCATTATATCTAATTAATCACAAATCAAATAAAAACTTGAGGTACAAATGCAAAGGTATCCTTCATGCTGCACACCACATCTCCATTTGCGAAAAATTTCAAACACCATCATACTTAATGTCAGTAATATCTGCGTAAATATTTGTGACAATGCAAGTGTACAGCAAAGAAAATACCACAGCATTTAACGTTGAAGATAATCCAACGGAAGCTAATTTTAAGAAAAAAAATAACCAAATATATCATAATGAGTTGTATAATTTAGCATAAAAACATAAAAACATTATATTATAGAACCTGCCAATTTTCCTCACTGATTTTATAGAATCTGTAAATTTCCCTCAATTGGTTGGAAAATGAACTTTTCTTAAAAAGAATTCCTGTCTAAAGAGTAAGTGAGGTATGGGAGTATTCGTTTATGCAGACCAAAAATGAGCAACATAAACGAATCATTAAAGATTTGTCATTGTAGCGCACATTTACAATAAGAAACTTAGTGAATCGACTTGGATGGCATTGCTTCCAATGATTTGGTTTTAGATTATAGTAATCTGATAATAAATACAGCAATTCAAAGACCTTTACATCCCAAAATGAAAAACACATCCCGACTAATCGTCTAACATATGCAAATTTAACGAAATCTCACTTAAATAATAAAAACAATGAACCAGAAAAAAATATACAAAATGTATATTCCGAAGATGTCCAACACATCAACTAATACCAGCTTCGCTGATGAATTAAACAACTACTTTATATTCCTTATTAGTAATACAATCTATATACAATGTGGGTAAGCAAAATATAAATAAGTGCAGGCGGTATTACTCTTCATCATCATCATCATCTCCCTGCGGCCGAATTGTGATTTCGCGCACAGTTGCATTTGCCATCGCACCAAGTAAGACCTTCAACGAAGCAGTTTTATAACAAAGAAACCGAAAAGAATGTTGATCCTGAATCTGGCGCCTCGAAGTTTTTAAACTGCTTGAACTTACATGCATGGAAAAATGATTCTTTGAGAAACATGATACAACTAGACCTACTTTTCATACCTATAGCTCATAAATGGGCAAATAAAGTAAAGAAACTTACTTCCGGGCAAGAGACGAAAACGTAGTGGTCGTTTTCATAAGTTCCACAAAGTACTCGCACTTTTTCTTGCAACTGAGGATTTGTTGTGACCCAAATTGTATACACATTTGCTGGTGAACAAATCAAACATTCTTCAAGCATCGGTAAATCAGTTTCAGAGTCACCACATACCAAAATTTTACCACAATTTAGTTTCAATCCCATCTTTGATTTGATCAAACGAATCCCATGACCCTTATTGAAAATACGACCGGAAATCTTTGTCTAAAAAAGAGATCAGATAAAAGAAAGAAAAAAAGATCTAGCAGCAAAAGGTGACTAGTAAAGCTAGGTTAATCTAAACTGATTGTGCCAGTTAAAGTTATCCAGCAAAAATTGGATTTCAAGAATTTTTTACAGTTAGAATGCGCATATCTGATTATGCAACAGATTTCTTTTTAAAAGCAATATGCATTAACATCACTTGTCAGTCATGAGAAATATGCATGATGTAGTTAATCAGAATGGAGAATTGATGACAACATCAAAAATTACCGTCGCACTATTAACTTCCGACAGTGCTACTTTCGTGAAAATCTTCAAATCGAATTCACCCTCTCGTAATGCCAGAGTTGCAGCCGTAGGATCTACTTCGTTCACTATTTTACATACTGCTTGATATCTGAAAACATCGTAGCATAAAGTTTTGTTTTCATAAACGTTTAAAGCAAATATTTGTTAATTGATGATTAGCATGAGTCTATTAGTTCAAAAGCGATTTAAAGAAATAAATTTAAAAACAAACAAAAGAGATGAGCGATGCTTAGGAACTGAATAGTTGACATCCTGCCGAGCAATAGTAATATGTCCATAATGTCTTTGTAGACCAGAACCAATCCAAGTGAAGTTGCGATATTCCGGTTGTTCAAGCAATTCTTCCAGCTGAAATATATCGCATTAAACTTCTATTAGTTTATTCAAATATTTCATTTTAATTGTGAACTGTTCTTCATACTCTTTCAAAGACATTCGTTAGTAAAGCCAGATCTGCGTCATTAACACTATCATCTTTGAACTGCAGCGACGGATTTAAATACCATTCACGACCAGCAGATGCACCATATGCATAGTAGCCTTAAAAAATATTGCAGTAAGCAAAAACGAAACTTACTATAGAAATATTTAAAACTACAACTGCCATAGAAATTAAGAATTTTAGATTTGCAGCTAAGAAAAAGGAGAGCACAAACCTTCAGGCATTGTGCTGACATTCAAAACACCAATATGCATCAACGGTGACGTGGTAACAATTGCGCAAAACTGGGCACAACGTCGAGCAAATTGTGCCTGAATGTTTTTGTCTTTGACGAATATGCCTCGAATTATCCATAAATTTCAGAAAAAAAAAGATTAACAAAAAAATGCAACTAATGTTACCTTCAAAACACTAACATGTCTCAAAGGTTCACAAGTGACATGCACAATTTTGGATATCGAAGAAATATTAAATTTAAAAGTACTTGGATAACAGCAGAATATGCTGGCTGAATGCTGGCTGGGTAAGAACACGAATACGATTTCAGTGTACCATCACGATCGGTAAAGAAATGTTGAAAATGATCACCTTCAGTTAATAAGGCAAATGCCTTATTAACTTCATCAACGAAAGCTGTTTGTCCAGCAGGATGATAACTTCCAAGAGTCTGAAAAATAATACAATAACTACAGCACAATGTTAAGGATAGCCTATTACCAAATAAAGGAATTGAAAATGCCAGTTTAAAGCTAACCATAACGAACTGCTCCACATTGTTGATTTCGTCGCTTTGAATAAATCTGAGGAACTCAAGATCGTTTTCTAATTCAGCTAATTCGTTCGTTATATCAAACTTTGCAGTCATATGTTCGCTGCTCTCATCTGAATCATCACCTGCTGCAGCAGTCTCCAAAATCAGAGTATGCGTACCAGTAACACATGAGTTTTCAAGTGATGCCTACAGTAAATTAGTTATTCCAAACATTCATCACTTAATACATCCTCACAGAAACAATATTTTAGAAAAGTCTCATAAAAAATATTTATAATGCAGACATTAGAATGCAAAATAATCACTCGCTTGTATACCTTTGCATTCTCAAGCGAAACGGAGAAATGAGCCCGAATTGCAATCCCTTTCAAAACCCGTTCAGCAATTTGTCGACGCACCTGACATGTCTTATCCATGAGTTGATAAAAATCGGCCAGAAGCTT